AATTGTAAACAATCTGAACAATCACGTAAAAACGTGAATAAACAGACAAAATTGACTAATTATTTCAAACCATATTGTTGGTAAATGCTTCCTAAAGCCTTATACAGCTAATTTAGTAACACAGCCTAAATTAGAAAAGGATATATAGTTTGGCATGAAATGCATGTGGACCCGGTTTTTGGTAAATATCTCTTCATCCAATGACCCAATCGATCTCAAACTGTGCAAGTGGATGTTTTGTCAGACAACCTAATCACATTGTAAATCACCGATTTTATGCATTTGTATTAAAGATTCTGTCTATGTAACTGTCAACAAAATAAACAGCAGAAAGCCGACTGCTTGCAGAGGGAGGGAGCCAATGACCTGTAACAGCGGCAGTGTTGGGTCATAAAGGTCAACGTTCGTCAATGTAGGTCAGCTATGCACGTGACAGGTATGAAGAGGTGTCACAGGTTGTGAATAGGGTAAGGTGGGTGCCAACTGTTAACCATCATACGGAGTTTGTTTCTCTGAGTTGTTCAACATTAACCACAAAACCCATTAGTGAGAATTATTCTGTAGGTTAAAATCTTTAAATTTGTAATGTTAATGTCATATTTTGTTTATGCAGTACCTAAGTGGAAATGCATTTAAAGAACACAGAAAGTATATTTACACTAAATCATTAATCGGACCACCTATGGTTAGAACTCAACAACTGTTAAAGCCTCGTTCCCTCGGACACAAGCACACACAATCATGCACACTCATTGAAGAAAAGATAGAATGAAGACAAAAGTGTTATGTTTTGATGTCATTCACATTCCAAATTAAGCAATGCATTTCTAATTTTTAAGCTTTAAGCATATAGGTAGTTAATATTTATATTTGCATGATAATTTTATGTGAAATGAGTGTTTCATGTTACACTATAAGTCGTTGGAATTAATCAGTGCTGTCATTGTTAAAAGAAGTTATATTTCTTTGAGCATATCTGGCTGGATACTATTATTATCTGTAAATATACTGAAAGGCAAAAGAAATGTCGTAATATTGGAAATGACATTTAAGTATCAATGGAACATTTGCACCTATTTTTTAAAAATAATACGCCCTTGAAATGCAGTACCGACTGTCATCAGAGAAGATAACCCCTCTCCATTGTCCCCCACGACAGTTTTGCCGCTGTTGTGTCCACTTGGATACGTTCCCGGCGGTGACGTTGGGTGAATATGGGTCTCCTGGCAGGACATCGACAAAACAGGTTCCTGGATTGGAGACGTCGCCGAATGGTAGGTCACTGACTGGTCGCTGGTGGTTTCCTATGGTCACCCAAGCTGTTTCTCTGGCCCTTGCGAATAGGTCTTGCACGCGTGTTGATGGACGATATGATGGTCCTGGCGGCGTGTTGTTACACAGGGTTGACCACTACGGGACGGCCGTCATCAGTGCTGCTGGTGGCGTTGTATCGCGACTCTAAGACGTTCTATCGTTCAATGCGCTGCAACTGAAGTCATTAGCAATGACTCGAGCATGTTGACCAGCGTGCAGACGTCCAATAGCTTGTTGTGGTTGATATCTCGTTAACCTACTCATAGCTGCTGTGTTCAGAAAACAAGTGAACGATTGCCATTCAAGCCGGCAATTTATGCCTGAATGCATTTATGATGCACGTGCATCTCAATTTCAATGTTGTATTTGTGGGAACTTTTCCCTCTCCAAAAAAAACAAAAATTTCTAACTTCAATCTCAAACAATACTTTATTGGGCAATGCAGGCTATACGACCACGATTCATGTTTCCTCAAACTTGACTTCTGGTGTATATTTTTAAAAGTAGGTTCAAATACTCCATTGATACTCAAATGTCATTTCTAATATTACGTTTCTTTTGCCTTTCAGTATATAATAACAGAATTAAACTTCATCAAGTACACTCCATTCTTCCACAGAGGAAACATCAGTGTCCAGACGAATGACAACTGGATTAACTGTTTGCTCCTTCAAGCCATCTTTGAGCCAGTACTCTTTCTCCACCTTCTTGACATGTTCAACACATGCATGCCAGCGTGCAATGTCAATGTCACATATAGCAGTGTTGACAATGTGCTTGACATCATTCAACTTCAATGATCGATTTTTCCGGGCCACTGTACTTTTAAGGTCTCCCCAGATTTAAGTTCGATTGGGTTGAGATCACAGTGGTACGGTGGTAATCTCAAGACCTTATGGCCGTGTTGGCGTAGCATGTTGTCAATGTTATATGTGGGTGGAGGTTTGTTAGGTTTAATCAAAGACTACAACTGGGGTTTAGTGGCCTTAATTGAAAATTGTATATTGTTATGTGTTAGCCATTGCTGCATATCTGACTTCTTTGTATTGGAAGATTGGCACCTATTGTTTGGATCTCGAACACTGTGATAGGGAGCATTGTCCATGACAACAAGACTTTTGTAAGGCAGAGTTGGCAACAATTGTTCCTCAACATACTGTGTGAAAACCGTTGAGTTCATTTCTGTATGATAGTCCCTACCATCTGTGCTCTTTGACCGAAATACCAGATCACACCCAGGTAGGAATCCACGGTGGGAACCAGCATGAAGAACGATTAAACGTTCACCTTTGCCTGTTGGTATTTTCCTACCATCACTGCGATCAGTGGGTAGCCACTGTCTGGCAGCAGTATGGTTTGCATTGACCCAGGTCTCCTCCAGATATATAGGTTCGAACCCATCCTCTCTTGCCTGCTTAATTTCTCTCAGATAGTTACACCTTATTTTCTGGTTTGTTACCTTCTTGTACTTGTATCCAAATTTGAGCAGTAGTCTGCTTAGCATAAACCTAGCAACATTAATATCGTGATCCTCTGCAAGGATGTGTTTTAACTTTCTTGTGGACAGGTGTTCATTTCTAGCAAATAGCCGGCGAATGACATCTCTGATGACCCTGATGTCAAAAGAATCTAACTTTGGATGCCTACCTTTTTGTACAAGGTTTTGTTTATTGGTTGTTGGTTTATTTTTCACAATTTTTAGCACGACGTTCTTTTTCATGCCAAGAGCAAAAGTTGTATGTTTCATGTAATTCGACACCTTATAAATCGGTTTGCTACGTTTGCTCTCTTTTTAAAAAAAATTCAACACATTTCTAATTAAACGTTTAGCATCATCTGAATAAGCTTTCATGATGACAGCTAGCAGTAGTCAATGTGAATGATCCAAACGGTCTATCACTGTGCAGTGCACAGGTAACTATCATGAACTGCACGTGCATTGACCTTTATGACCCAACACTGCCGCTGTTACAGGTCATTGGCTCCCTCCCTCTGCAAGCAATCGGCTTTCTGCTGTTTATTTTGTTGACAGTTACATAGACAAATTCTTTAATACAAATGCATAAAATTGGTGATTTACAATGTGATTAGGTTGTCTGACAAAACATTCACTTGCACAGTTTGAGATCGATTGGGTCATTGGATGAAGAGATATTTACCAAAAACCGGGTCCACATGCATTTCATGCCAAACTATAGTGCCGTATAGGGGACCCAGGCGCTCTCACAACCGTCCACTCGGGCGAAAAAGGAGAGAGTGAGGAGCGTGGGTAACAGGTGGCGCCGTTTCCCGCCAAAACCCTAGGAAGGGAGATAACACCTGGTGAGTGATTTTATGTCAGCTTTTTGAAGGGAGCTTCAAAAGGGGGATTCAAGTGTTCCACTAACATTCGGAAGAAAAGGGAGACAAGCAATAAGCATGAGTCAGGATAAGGAAAAATGGGTATTTTGCCATTTTCCATTAATTATAAAAATGTAATAAAGTTTTAAAATTGGTTTACGAGTTTATTATTTATATTTGATCTGTAATATGAGAAACAATAAGAAATACTGCAATTTGCCAAGTTCATGTGCTGAAATACAACCTCTCAACATACCTCGATCATCTTATTTATTTTGTGTGTACGCATGCAAGATCAAATTTATTGAGTATTTACACCAAAAAAAGAAGCTTACTTGTATGCAATAGACTCAATCGTAATTTAGTTTTCTCATAAATATTTGCATAATTTAAGCAGATACACAGCTTTATCTGTACTACTACTGTAATTCTGGCTACAAATGGCTTGCAAAAAAGAAAACTGTATGATCTTTATATCCCCCGAAAACCAAAACCCCAAGAAACAGTTTGGTTAAGTTCAATCTGGCCATTCTGTGTCCTGTAAGACATTCAAATGAAAGAGTAGTTTAAGCATCACCAGGAAAACTGAGCCACTTTCAAGAAAACCTTCAATTCATTCCCCATGATAATGGACACAAATGAAATATTTAAATATGATATTAATGTGGTTATTCTGTACAACATGATTTAGTTGGTTTAGATGTTTGTTTATGTTCCCTGAGCCATGGGCCCCGAGGGACCAGTGAACAACATATTTATCTCACCTAACACCTTAATGTTAATTTTGAATTGTTTGAAGTATGGGTACAAATCTTTTTTGTGGCCATCGCTAGATTTTGCTGACAAGAAAAACAGATTTAGAGTTATCTCCCTTCCATCGATATGCATTTGCAAGACATCGGTAATTTCCGGACATCGTACGTGATTCAATGTTATTCGAGATAAAGAATTACTACCACGAAGTACCAAATGAGTTGCCATTGACAGCGGGGTACATTGAAATGTTACTCGCTTGTAAGCGGGGTACACTGAAAATAATAGAAGAGCGCTCAGCCAATCAGAAAGTGACAGTTATGTGTGAGGTAAGATAATATGTTATGTGGGGCGTTTTCACTTAACAATCTGCATTTGGGCGAGATAAAGAACTTCCCCCGAAAATGCTTTCTGTACACATATCCTATTGTTTACCTGATCTGGACAGTTTCAGTTGTGATTAAGATGGAATCAGAAATAATTCTATGAATTACTTATCCAATTTACTATTGTATCCTAAAATCATGGCAAACATCACAAAAGAATGATATCATCACTGAACAGCAATTGTGGGAAACAAAGTTTAGTCTTACCTGGGAAATAGTTGGGGCCTTGTTGGCTTTCTGGGCAAGTTTGTATGCCCCATCAACAACTAGTGAGCTGACAAACAATCCACCTTCAAACTGCAAGCAAAAAACTACACTCAAGATTTCACCACGCTGATTAGAACAACTGTACACATACATTTGACATTTTGCAACAAATAACAAAATAAGACAATTGTCACATTTTTTACCAGTTCGCGTTATGGGGACAATGGTTTTCCTTGTGAAATACTGTTGTAATTGTATTACATTGTTTCAGACGAAGTAACAGTTACCTTGCATTGCTGTCTATAAAGCTAACCAGCATAATATTATTACATTTAACTCTGCTTTATCAAGTTTTGTGCATAAATTATACAATCACCCAGCTCACATCCTGCAGGTGTGTATTCCTTTGACTGGAATGTTTATCAATCTTCATCAGTTTTGTCTACTATGATTTAGAGAACTGTTTTAGACATTTGTAGATACATGTCAAATTTAATCATAACAATTGACTATTTATTCAGTTCATTGAGAAAAGCCATTGCGTAAATATTCATACAGTTTGCACATCAGATTAATATCTTAACCATGTTAACATTAAGTCATTCCTCAACACAATGGCATGCAACTGCTCACCTGGAGATACTTTTCATCTACTTCATCAGCTTGTGCAACAACATCTTCAATGCTGTCAAAGAATTTGCTCACGTCACCTGACAAGTCAGAGGCAACCAGGAATGCATAGCCATGGCTGTAAATGAAATTAGAAGTCCTTAGAGCATTTGAAGCACCCATAGAGAATCTCACCCAAGTGTCTTCTGATATCAATTATATCAACACGAGTTGATAAAGTTACAAATATCCGAGGCTTGCCGAGGATATTTTTACTTTTATCAACGAAAGTGTTGATATATTTGATATCAGAAGACACGAGGGTGAGATTCTATTTATCATCCAAAATCACTCTTCATTAATTTTCAATGAAAAATGTACATGTCTGAACATGGTACTGCCATTAGACTTGCAGTGCATCGATGTCATAGTATTGTGACGTCATCAAGTACATGACGTCATAGCATTGTCACGGCATTGTACAAAATCTACTGTCAAAACAATATCTCCTAGGAGATATCGTTTGATCTCACACAAGCGATATCTCCTGTGGAACACAGTTTTGGATGATAAATAAGCTTACTGTCGAACACAGAATACATTTACTTTTTGACTGGGGGTTTTAAGCGAGCAAATATTCCATGTTTCCCAAAAGTCTGAAAATCAGTAAATTCATGGTCACTTGACCATAATTGTAAAGTATTATTATTGTATGATTACACATAGCTGAGGAGGAGGGAGGGAGGAGAAAAAGGGAGGGAAACAAAGAAAAAGAAAAAAAAGGGACAAAAGATGATTTTTATAGAGGAGCATGTAAATGTGAATGATCCCCCTTCCCCCCCCCACCAAATTTGTGTACTAAGTGACCCTCCTGCATGTCATGTACAAAATCAATACCCCCCCAATAAATTTTAAGTGTAATATTAAAATATTTTTATGTACGAAATTGCTGACGGGTACAAAATTGCTGACCCTCAGCCATAAATTATGAATGGTCCCTTAACACGCAATAATCAACTTACCTCAAGGGAGAATCATCTTTCTTCAATGATTCCAGTAATGACTTGCTGACCTTAGCATTGTCAACTGAAAGCAGACATGAAACAAGATTAACATAAAGATGCATCTACACACTGTAAACATTTTCCCCCAAATTTGAAACTATAAATTGTACATTTATTCTATCTCTTGAAGTGCACTTCTTTCTACAGAGTAGAAATGAACTGCAATTGTTTTTAGTTTCTCTAAACAGCCTGCTTGAAAACACCACTGCTCCAGTTGTTGGTATAAGGTCATCATTAGAAGCTCCCACAGTTCATGAAACCTGCCCAGGCTGATCATCAGGTGACTGGAGCTACCCATATTCTGTATAGCTGGGTTGGTCGAGTGGGAATCCATCATGTGACAAAGGATAATTTTAAAAATGTGAAAAATTCATTAATAAATTTCTATCTCATTAAGTGCACTTATCCCACAGTTGGACAGTGGGTTTCAGATAACCCTCGTCAAAGTTCACAAGAGGGCTGGCTGGACTTCTCAGACCCTAAGTATCAGTTGCAGGTGCACTTGCTTCACGTAAACCTATTAACGATACTCAACTGCCAGTTACAACTTACATGATTTCTTGCCATATCTTACATCAACAGACAAATGGCAGAGCCAAGAGACTGGAGTACTGCCTTACCCGATTTCCAACAGACCCCAGAATCCAAATACCTTGCAATCTTCAATCCCAGACAGCTTGTGTTTGTTTTTTTTAAACTGTCTACAAGACCCACAACATTCAGGTGGAAGGACGACCAGTGAATGATAGTCAATGATCACATAAAAGGTACGCTTCGATTGTTCCCTCGTGAAAAGGCTGAAAAGCTCTTGCCATTGATGCAGAATTCTCTCCTGAGATAACTGCAATGGACATAGACGTTGGATCTTCACCCATACGTGTGTCGAAGACAGCCCTGATAAATTGAATTCATTGGGTCAGAATGAGCCCTTATTTTTATATGCTGATAATCCATCTGAGGACTTGGGGGGTGAATTGTTGTTGCTGAAGAATGTGATGATCCCCCTGCACCTGTATACAACTGTTGATGTGGGCATGGAATATGATCCCTCAGCAATGGAAATACTGTGTGATGGGCTTGTGGGTAAATGGCCATGGGGCTGCAGAAATGCCATAGAGAGGACATTCCACTGGTCATGGATCAATTCCCTGAAAGACAAACTGTAGGTATTTGCAATGGTCTGGAAAGAATGGAACAAGAATGTATGCATCGTGCAGATCAAGACTGATCATGAAGTCTCCCAAATTCAGGATCAGGCATGGAAGCACCACAGAGATCATAATGAAAGGTGGAAGGGTTTGTTGGTATCTGCCATTGAATATCTTTATGTCGACTATCAGGTACAGTTTGCCCGAATGTTTCTTCAGTATCGAATAGAGGCCGGGCATACAGGGCGAGGGACATCGTGACTATTGCTAATTGCTCCAATAACCTAAGGTGGTTTAAGGAGATACCCTTGTTGTGGAGGATCGACTGCAATCCTAACTGTGGCAGTTATATCCTTGCAGGAGCATGGTGGTGACAAAGGGTGGTTGTCCAGATGGTCCAATCTCACATACACCAAGCATTCCATCAACATCTGAGTAAGATCAGTGTAGAAGGTCGCAGTTGTGTGATTGTATCAGTCAGTCATTGGAGGGAGGGATCAACCAACCTAGCTAAAGCGCTACGCTCCGGTTCTCATATTCTTGTCGCTACTGGCTCCATGGTGGAAAGGATGAGATTAATAGCAGTCAACGTCTTCCTGTATCCAGATGAAACAATTCATAATTATCAACCGTCAGGGGCGAATTGTTGCACTTTGGACAGTGATGGAAGGCAATGTGATGATGGTAGCAAGCCCATGGATGCGAGTGCTTTCAAAGGAAAGCAACCAATGATGGATAGACTGTGATAGTCCAAATATCAGAGTCTTTATCTGCCGATGACACTCCTCGATAGTCGCAGTTTACGTTATATCCATGGTGTCCTGCTTGACTGTATTGATTTTTCCAACACAAGGTAAAAATATTTCGATGTTAAAACGTTGAAGGTTCTGTTTAATGTTAATTGCCATTTCATTATTGAATTTTGAAAAGAGATAGAGTTAACTGAAAAATTTTGATTGATATGTTTTGTAGATAGATGTAATTTTATGATTGGTAGTTTAAATTACTAATTTTTAAATAATATCTCTGCGATACACTATTTGTTTTACTGTCCTTCGTTGACAAGTGTTTTATAATATACCAATAATCATTATTAATCTATACCTTGAAATAGTCACGCTATAGCTGAAATACTGCCGATTGACATATATCCATGGCAACATAAACATGTCGACACTGTCAATACAAAAATCGATGGTACAGATATCATCTGAGAGAAGACATATAGTGTTGGGAATCGGTTGTGATTTCATCATCGATCATCAGTTACAATCGGATTGGCCCAACCGATCAATCATCAGTTAATAATCGGTTAAATTAAATCACAAGAATAACCTCTAAATAATAAATATATTTCACAAGATCAAGACTTCTAAAGGTAAGCAAGTACAGTTCAGAGACAGATGGTTGAACATGTAGAGGTACACAAAAGAAAAGAAAAAGAATGTTCTTTTATGGTTTATTATTTACCATCAACAGCATCAATTACTAACTATTCAACAAACAACAGACCTTGTCAGATGTCATAAAAACAAACATGACTCAATGCTGGTGACGGACTAGAAAAGTGAATCAAACCAACCTAGAGGAATGAACCCGCCACTCAAACTTTTGCATCTGGGCACTACTATTACTGTTTTTTTAGATACTTAAATATAGGCGTTATTCATCGAGGGAAAAACACAAGAAGTGACTGTATGCTCGCTTTACCTCAAAGATCAAGTTTTACTTATTTAAACTCAATAAAGTCATTATAACCATAGATAAGCTGAATTTTGAAGACCAAAAAAAGCACTCTGTGGAAGGGGGGTCTGCTTATCTAAAGGTAACACTTTCATCAAACTTTTTTTTCTGGACATCATATTGTTACACATGAACGAAGAAGTATAAAGAGAAGACAACTTTATCATTTCGCACAAATGTAAAGACAAAACGACTTTGTCAGTGAAGTCGTCAAATCTGCAATTATACATCACTAGACAAGATTATTTACCTTTTCAGTTCTAATTTGCTTTTGCTAGGCATTGGATTATATGCAGGGATTAAGATTAAAGTATGTACGAACTCAAGAGATGGAACATGGGAGCGTGTTGAAGGACAATCAGTCAGTTCTTGATAGCAATAGAACCATTGTTTGAAACCCTCTGTTGTTAGGACGGTTCAGAGTTAGCCCCACGAAACTGGAAGGTTTGGTCGAGGGGGAAATCGATGAATGAGAGACATGTGGCATAAACTGATAAACAGGCTTTCTTAGGAGAGCACTTGTTCTTTTTACAAGCTGAAATCTACGTTTAGGAGTCTATCCTTTATCCTTATTGATCAGGCTTTCCTTACAAATGCTGATGCAGGAGGATCTAAGGCAGATGTTTTCTCACAATTAGAGCAATCTTCTTGTGGCTGTGTCCTCCAAGCCTATGATGGTGAGCTTTACAATTCTCTTCCAAGACACGAAAAACAACTCAAGTCCTAGATCTTTTATTATATAACAAAAACGATTAAATCAATCTAAACTGAAGCACTCCTGTGCAACAAGACCGAAAATGAGTGCAGCTGTCAGTCACATGATCAGCCTGTCCAGGTCGTATCTAGGTGCATCTAATGACGACTAACATCAGCAACTGGAGCGTGTGAAGTGAGCAGGGGAGGAAACATATTTGTTTACTGATAATACTGACTGTACCAAGCACTGTCATCCCATTGGTTAATTGAAACAAACGTATAAAAGATGATATGAAGCTAAATTCATGGCCACAGTTCAACCTGAAATGTTTAATCTTAAATAGACATGATACTTGAAGTTGGAAGAACATGAAACTTGTAAAGGTAACCTTTTCATTGATTGTAATGACATTTCAGGGGTTATTGTTAAAGCATATTGCAACTCTTCTAATTGTCTTCATTTCATAGTAACCTACCTTTCAAATCAAGGTTTTTTAGGGCAAAAAATGCATAGAAGATATCAACTACTGCAGCATCCTCCTTTATGGAATCCTGCAAGAGCTGCTGTACATTGCTGACACCAAGCTGAAAATAACAGTAAGTTCTAATACAGTATGAACAGTGTTAAAGGTCACATGCAACCAAAAAATCAAACATAATTAAAACACAATTATCACTTATTCATGACATATAATATACCTTGCTGATTATGAAAAAACATATAAACAAAATTATAATCGCAAATCAAAAGTGCAATATTTAGGTCTTCAGAGCCCGGTAAAGGCAGATAACCCAAAACTTCAAAATCTTTGAACCCCAATATCTCCAAAACTAGAAGAGTTAAACTGACCAAATTTTCACCCAAAGTAGACATCATCATCCTTTATGGATTCAACGCATAAAGTAAGTTGGGCAGCAGAAATTTTTTTCCACAATTTTGGAAAAAATGGATTTTTTGCCGATTTTCACGTTATGACGGTGCCTGTGTTTAACAATCTTCTTCTCCTGAACAGCAAATAGTAGAATAGTGTTCTATATATCGTTTTAAAGCCCAGACTCCGGACTACTTAGTTTGTTCAGGGCATGTCGATATCTTGAATAGTGTCGGAGATTTTGCCCTTGGAAGTTGGTCAATTTTGTCAAACGCATTTTTATAGGGTTCACACAACTCTGCGAAAACACAATGGATTTCATTTTTCAAGGTACCAAACTGTAGATAATGAAATGTGGAACATTTCGGCTTCACATTATTGTTATGTAAAAGTCAATAATTACGCCACAATTACGCCACAAACAGGGAGGGACATAAGGATTTTCGCATTTTGTCAGTTGTGAGATAACTGAAGGAAGCGACAGTAAAATCTAGCAACAATCGCCACTTCCTGGTTTTCCAATGCCAAAAGAAATAGTTCCCCTTATAACAGGCTGTAGCTCTTTTGTTCTTAGGTCTACAGTCAAAACAATTAGTGTTCTGGCTTCAACACTTCAAACACCCGTAACTCCGAGAGTTAAAATTGACGCTCCAGCTGGCATCCAAAGAAGCAGTACAAATAAAGGCAGCCACGGGGAGTGTATGGAGATGTCTGAAGACCGTCAGTATTGCCTATGAGGCAATCCTAGTAATATTATTTGTACGTTTTTTGTACCAGCTCTCCTGACTTAACCACTGGGTCGATTTTCATGAAACTTTCAGGGATGATAGCCTGTATGCTGAAATTGATACAGAGTCAAAAAAAATCTTGACTTCCGGCTTCCGGTAAGGGCAGATAACCCAAAACGTGAAAATCTTTGAACCCAAATATCTCTAAAACTAGAAGAGTTAAGTGACCAAATTTTCACTAGATGTAGACATCATCATCCTCTATTAATTAGGCGCATAAAATAAGCGGGCGGCAGAATACATTTTCCGCAATTTTGGAAAAACTGATTTTTTTGCCGATTTTCACATTTTGACGGTGACTGTTTAAAAATCTTCTCCTCCTGAAAGGCAAATAGTACAATCGTGTTTGATATATCATTGTAAAGCCCACACTCTGGACTAGCTAAATAGCCCAAGGCATGTCAATATCTTGAATGGTTTTGGAGTTATCGCCCTTGGAAGTTGGTGATTGTTTCGAAGATGCATTTTCATAGGGTTCACAAAAAATGTCACAACTCTGCGAAAACTCAATGGATTTCATTTTCCAAAGTACCAATCTGTAGATAATTGAATGGGAAACATTTTTTGTTTCACATTATGGTTATGCAAAATGTAATTTTCTGAGTAAAATTGATATTTTATACTTATCCTGACTCATGTATTATTGCTTGTCTCCTTCCTTTCCCGAAAGTTAGTGGAACACTTGTATCTCCTTTTTGAAGCTCCCTTCAATAAAGCAGACGTAAAATCACTACTCACCACGAGTTGTCTCCCTCTCGGTTTTGGCGGGAAAACGGCGCCACCCATCTTCCCACGCTTCACTCTCTCCAAATTGCTAGCCCGACATTTCGATTTACAGGGAAATCCAAAGTGCCTAGCGGGGAGGTTGGGAGGGCTTACCTCATGAGTCAGGATAAGTATAAAATATCAATTTTACTCAGAAAATTACATATTTTTCCTTATCCTGACTCATGTATTATTGCTTGTAGATCTGGTGGTGGGTCAAGCCACTTCTGGATTCCAATTAGTGATTTACGTCTTGCATACCCCCCTATGGGAACTTCCTGGTAGCACTTCGATTTACTGCTAGGCTCTGCTGCTGCTGTAACCCTTTACTTCCAGCTTTCTCTGATGGGGGGACCACAATTGTTAACTCTTGGTCCTTGCTTCTGTTAACATTTTTATGTGGATTTTTGCAACTCCATCTCTTGATGCAAGCATCAAGTGGAGAAGCGACCCTTCTTATGTACGAGTACGTCCTTACAAGTACTGGGTCTTATCACTTATGCTAGTCTGTCTTAGACGTGCATATGGACTCTAAAGCTGTAACTCTCCTGAGTGTTGGCTTTTGCAAGTCATGTGATAAAAGGGCGAGACTGTCTCAGCGCCTCTGTGGAACTGTCAATTGTTGTGCTACAACAAGTGGGCCGAAATGGTGAATGCCAGAGCCGTCTTCAGTGGCGATGTCTCTCAGGTAGTGGTTGGCAAACACCATGTCTGATTTCCAAAAGCAGCCCTCCATTATCCTCGTGATAGAGCAGTTTCCATATAGAGCGAGTGTTGACGTCAGAGCTCTAATTTCATGTGGATTGGAGGCTCTTGGAGGATCAAGTCCTGCTGCTTTGTAGGCCCGTAGAATGACAGTTCTCATCCATATTGATATTGTAGTGCGAGAGATCTCAGTCTGTGTCTCTGCCGATATAGGGATGAAAAGACGCTTGAATTTTCGCCTCCTGGTCCTAGACCTTTGTAGGTAGACTTTCAATGCTCTTACTGGGCACAAGGATAGGTCCTGTGTATCCTATGCCCCAAGGACTGATGATAGTGCTGGGATGTGGAATTGTCTGTCCGGTTGATCTGGCAGTTGATTCTTTGCTATAAAGTCCCATCTCAGTCCCATATGCACGATGTTTCGATTTTCATCAAATCGTGTCCTTTCAAAGTCTGGAGCATGTATTTCCGACCTCCTTGCTGCTGTTGCTAAGGCAATCAGGAACAGAGTTTTCTGTGTCAAGAACTCAAAAGATGTCCTATCTAATGGTTCATAAGCGTCACTGGTGAGATGCCGTAGAACTATGTTGAGGTCCCAAGCCGGGGGTTTAAATCTCAGTTGTTGGTCCTCCAGTTTAAAAGAGCGTAGTAAGGCCAGTAACTCTGGTACCTTAGTCAGTTTTACACTCCGTGATAACTGAGCTCAATGCCACTAGGTATGTTGAGAGTGTTGACCCTTTTAACCGCTTCGTTTGTCTAGGTGACAAAGATAGTCCGCCACTTGAGGGTGTGTCACTTTCATGGCTGTGAAGCCTGTTTTCAAAGCGTAGGTCTCAAAGCTTCGCCACTTGTCGTCCTACAAGTTGCGTGTTGACTTGCGTAAAGCTAGCGTGACCGCTTTAGCTGCCCTGGCGGAATATCCTCTCTCATTCAAGCACGTCTTGATACGGTCCATGTGTGTAGGCGGAACACCTTGGGGCTGCCGTGTGCTTGCTTTGTGTGTGGATGTACTAGCAAGTTCGTCCACTCTGGTAGTTGCAGTTGAGGCGGTCCTAGTTCTTGTATGAGAATGGGGAACCATATTCTCGCTGGCCAATAAGGCGCGATCAAAATCAGTTGCAGGTTCCTCGTCTGCATGATTTTCTGCAACACTTTCGGTATTAGAGCTGGTGGCGGAAGCCAGCGTAAGCGTTTAGTCCTTCCCAAGAGATGCTTAGAGCATCTGTTGCCCATGCTCGTGGATCTGGTATTGGAGAGACGAATGTTACCAGTTGATTGTTGAATCTTGCGGCAAACAAGTCTATTGGTGGCTCCTATCTCTTGTGTATGATCTGTTTGAAGATTTCTGGATGTAGCATCCATTCTGTTGGGGATGGCTGAGTTGGACCGAGATAGTGCGTCTGCTATCACATTCTTGGCTCCTGGAATGTGGCATGCTTTATGTGGATGTTCAGATTGTCTGTTATGCTGAACCGATGAAAGCACAGGTTCAGAAGGTTCGCCGACCTTGTTGACCCTTGTTTGCTTATGTAGAACGCCACTGTGGAGTTGTCCATGTGTACCGTTAGATGAGCATTTTATAGAATGCTGGTCCAGTGGAGTATGGAGTTTATCACTGCTTTCATTTCTAGCATGTTGATATGCAGATCTTTCTCTTGTAACGTCCATTTCCCAGCTGACACTTCGTTGTCGAGGTGTGCTCCCCATCCTTGGAGAGATGCGTCCACATAGAGATGCGTTTTGCACACCGGCTCTGCTAAGTAGGTGCCTCCGCAAACATTTGATCTGAGTCCACCATAGTAGATATGGTTTTAGTCTGTCCGGGAGTCCGAAGAGGTCCAGATGTGCAATTACGAAGACCTGTAGTGGGCGTAGTTTTAATCTCCCTCTGCGCGTCATATCTTGTGCTGACGTGAGGAAACCCAACAGACTCTGCCACTGTCCAAGTGGCCACGGAAAGAGTGGAGCTTGCGATACCATCTGTTGTATCTTTAGCCAACGGTCCTCTGGTACTGTTATGCGGTTTTCTGTTGTGATGAGCCGAATTGCTAGGAACTGCAGGTCCTGTGTAGGCTCTAGTTCCGACTTGAGGACTGAGTAGGCTCTGCCAACTTCGTAGTAATAACGGAGAGAGTAGTGCTTGAGATACAATGGCTTGTATCTAGATCCAACGATCGTGAAACCCTTGCCATGACCGTAAGGGAAACGGCAAGCAATGTCCCACTCTGTGACTGCCATCGTTAGAAGTCTATATAAAGTAGACTGGCTGCCGTCACCAAAAGTCCGTCAAACGTATGTTGCTGCAATTCGCCTGATGAATCGTCTTCAATGCTGACAGGGAAGGTCTCTAACCCCGTGAAGACAGCCGAATCACGCAGTTCCCATCTAAATGGACTGTAATTGAGGCCTTCCTCCCTCGTTGAAAGGTTGTTGTCACTTGTAAACAATTCCCTGA